AGGGACTCCTTCTGCCAGGGCTCTGCAAGGAGTCCGAGGACTAGAAGAGGGGGATTTACCCACCAGTTCCTGTCCCCCGTTGGTCAAGGGATCCCCCCATGGAGTTTTACCTTCCACATGTTAGATTCAACCCACCAGCATCCCAAATCTCAGTTTCCCAGAAGCCCTGGGGCAGAAACCAAAAGACACAGAGCGCAGCAGAGGTGAGGGGCTGCAGACTACATGGCGCAAACCTGGTTGCTACAGAAACGGTTAAATTCAAAGCTGCCCTGCAAGGAGGGGAAGCAGGACAGGAGAGGCAACTAACACCTTGTTGCTAATCTGCAAACAGTCCAGGCAAGATCCTACCTAAGAGCCTTTGGGATGGTAGTTCTGTCTGCCTGGAACATCTCTGGACATCCTCAGGACCACCTTCTCCAGACCTTTCGTCATGTGTCTCCTTTTCAGTGAGGTCTTCTCTGATCACTCTGTTTAAATGCAGCCCCCCATCAGATTATGTCTCCTACTTACTTTATTTACTTGTCACCATCTAGTGTGCTCAGATACAGAGGTGAGAAAATATAGGTTTACAGTTCTTATGGAAAATAATAATAAATAATAATACAAGAATAAACTGTGTTTTGTGTACTCACAATTGTAAACCTACTTTTGTCCACCCCTTTATAAGCTCCCGGCAGCAGAGATTTTTGTCAGCTTTGCTAAATATTGTAGTTTCAGAGCTTAGAATAATGTCTGGCACCCAGTAGGACTCAGTATATGTTTCAAATAATAATCTATAACAAGTGAATATGTGAAAATAGAATGTTTTGCACATATCTTAGTGTCCTTTCTGTTTTGATTTATTTTCATCAGATTACTCAATAGCTTGCCTCCTTCACCTGACATACATCATTGTCAAAGATCAATAGAGAGGCCTCTATTAATTTCATTCTTTTTAATAGCTGCACAGTACTTAATATTTCATTGTTTAAATGTACCACTATTTATTTAGCCACCCTCTTCTATCAAAGGACATTTGTGTTATTTCCAACTTTTTACCTACACAAACAATACTTCAATAAATATCCTTGTACATGTATTTTTATGTAGTGGTGCTTTTATTTATATAAGGTATATTCCCAGAAGTGGTGTGCTGGGTAGAAGGGTGTGTGTGTGTGTATGTGTGTGTGTGTGTGTACGTGTGTTTCAGTAGACTTTATTTTTTTTATTTTTAAATTTATCTTTATTGTTGAAAGTGTTACAGATGTCCCCTTTTTTCCCCCATTGATCCCCTCCACCCCGCATCTACCTCACCCCCAGGCCTTCCCCATAACAATGTGTCCATAGATTATACATATACGCATATAAGTTCTTTGATTAATCTCTCCCCACCAACTCCGCCATCCCCACCTTCCCTCTGAGATCCCTTAGTCTGTTCCAGTGCTTCTGTGTCTCTGGATCTATTTTGTTCATCAGTTTATTTTGTTCATTAGATTCCACATAGGAGTGAGATCATGTTGTATTTGTCTTTCTCTGCCTGGCTTATTTCACTTAGCATAATACTTTCCAGGTCCCTCCATGCTGTCCCAAAGGGTAAGAGATCCTTCTTCTTTACAGCTGCGTAGTATTCCATGGCATAAATGTCCCACAGCTTTTTTACCCACTCATCTACTGATGGGCACTTGGGTTGTTTCCAGATCTTAGCTTCAAGAGACTTTATTTTTTAAAACAGTTTTGATTTACAGAAATCTGAGACCATCATATAGAGAGTTCCCATATACTGTCCACCTGGTTTCACATATTATTTATTTATTTATTTTAAATATATCTTTATTAATTTCAGAGAGAGGAAAGGAGAGGGAGAGAAAGAGACAGAAACATCAATGATGAGAGAGTCATGGATCGAGCCCACAACCTGGGCATGTGCCCTGACCGGGAATCGAACCCCGATCGCCTGGATCCTAGGTCGACGCTCAACCTCTGAGCCACGCCCGGCCGGGCTGGTTTCACGTATTATTAACCTCTTGCATTAGTATGGTACATTTGTTATAATTAATGAACTAGTATTTATACATTATCATTAACTAAGGCCCATATTTGATTCAGATTTCCTTAGTGTCAGTCGAATGTCCTTTTCCTGTTCCAGGATCCCGCGTAGGATACTACATTATATTTACTCCTCATGTGTCCCGGGCTTCTCTTGGCTGTGACAGTTTCAGATTGTCTGTGTTTTTGATGGCCATGACAGTTTTGAGGAGTACTGGTCAGGTGTTTTGTACAATGCACCCGTGTTGGAATTTGGTGTTTTTCTCATGGTTAGACTATAGTCATGGGTTTCGGGAGGAAAACCACACTACCTGGCTGAGATAGCGCTTGTAGGTTTCTCCACTAGGCAGTTGCTCTTGTCCTGTCTCCATCCTGTACTCTTCGGAAGGAGGACACTGTATGCAGCCCACACATCACGAGTGGGAAGTTAGGCTCTCCTCCATGAAGGCAGGGTATCTGCAGGAATTATTTGGAATTCTTCTACATCGGAGATTTATTTATTCTCCCCTGTTTATTTATTCATTCAGTCAATCATTCATTTATATCAGTATGGACTCATGGATATTTTACATACCCCCATCAAAGTAGAGTTTGTTTTTGTTTTAGCATTTCCTTACTTTTTAGCACTACAAGATGCTCCAGCCCCATCTTGTATTTTTCCTGCCCTGCCTAGAATCATCCATATCTCCCAGGAGCCCTGGTTTCCTTTGTTGGAGAAGAGTATTAGCAGCCAAGATCTGAGCTCTAGGTGTACTTGTTGCTACTGGGGTATGGTTGCTTCTAGGCCCTTTGACCTGACAGAGCAAGGTGATCTATGTGTGTGTACCAACCCATGTATACAAACATGTCTACAGTTATTTCTGTATGTAATCATCTGTATTTGTATTAAACTAAACATGAGTTCATACGATGTCTCCAACTCTAATCCAGTATTTAAAATACAAAGAGAAAATAAAAGGGAGACCAAAGTATAATTGCAGCAGCAAAGGTGGAAACTTTATACACAAGAAACTACATCCATGTCTGAGCGGCCTAGCCTTCTAGATATAGTCTAGCTGGAGGATGGCGGTGACTGGCCTGGTAAGAACCTCTGGAACCCTCCAGATTGGGCCAGCCCAGCTCAGAATGCTGAGGAATGAGACTGGGTCTGAGACTTTGGCTTCACATACTCATAAAGACAAAGGGATTGTAATTAAATGAGCCCTGAACTACATCTTTGTAGTATATATGGTAATTTAGCCTGTTCTATTAAAATGACTTGTATGTGTAATAAACATGTTGAGTAAGCCCGTGACCGTCCATCCATCATGTTGCTTGGTTCTTCTCATCTAATTCCTCTGTATGTTTCTAAAGAAGCCCCTTCAGTATTAAAGTGGAAACATCCAAACCCTCGTGAGTGCAGGCAGCACTGTGAATGTTGAGCTATAGTCAAAACCTCCAGGCTACTGATTGCAAACTGGTTTCAAGATTAGAGGTGCCTCTCTGAGCTCTGGCACTGGAGTCAACAGAGAGAGGGGAGTAATGTGGTTTGAGAAGCTAAACCCACAGGATCTGGCTGCACTGACACTGCTTCCAGGGAGGTCACACGGCCTCTGCTGGGGGAACCAGCCAGGCGCTCGCAGGCCTCTCCCCACCTGACCTTTCAGCAGCATCCAGCATCCATCACCGCAGACCTGGTCCCTCTCTCACTGATGGTCCCACCATCTGCCCCATTAAACAGACCTTTGGTCATCCTTGAGACTCCTTTGTTCTGCCAGGTTATGCCCGTGGCATCATGGCATCATCTTCTGTTACCTTCGCACTTACCTTGGGGACCTTCTTCCCTCTCTCCTACTCTGCTTCCTTCTCATCGGCACGCATCTGGGTGCAGGGGTTCCTTGGGTCTCTTCCCTTCTCACTCCCTCTTCAGGGCAGTCGCATCTGCCCATGGCCTCACTTACACTTGTGCTGACTCCAGCTTTTATCTTCAGCTCAAACTCCAGCCAGCCTGAGGATTCCACCTTGGTATCTCAGAGTCCCCACCAACCCAACATGCCCCAAACAGTAGTTTCTTCGCCCCAAAACCTGTTCCCTCTCTTACTGTTGGTCCCACCATCTGCCCCATTCTAGAGACCTTTGGTCATCCTTAGATCCCCCTCTTCCCCCTCCCTCACCGCCAGCCCATCACCACATCTGATTATTCTAATAACAGAGAATATCTCCGAACACTGCCTTTCTCACCATCTGTCTTGCCTCTGCCCAGGTCCATGTTCTAGATTCATACCTTCTGGCACATCAGGTTGAAGAGTCTTCCGCGTTTCCTGTTTTAAAATGTTTCATCAACTTAGGAATCACGATATGCTTATTCATTCACAAATAATTATCAAGGCCCCATTCGGGGGGTACAACAACTTTATTCTGAGTAAACAAGAGAACACAGACCCTGAGATGGTCCTTACATTCNTTCATCAACTTAGGAATCACGATATGCTTATTCATTCACAAATAATTATCGGGGGGTACAACAACTTTATTCTGAGTAAACAAGAGAACACAGACACTGAGATGGTCCTTACATTGTATGTATTGATAGCAGAGGACATTAAACAATCAACTGAGACATTCTCACTTTGTAATTACTACATGCTTCAGGGGAGCTACCAGCCAGACGGGGGAGGTCAGGGGACACCTCCTTAGGAAGGGACATTTCATCCGAGCCGTAAAGGGTGAGTTTGTATTTACTAAAAATTCCCCCCTCCCTTTCACTCTCCTTTCTTATCTCTCTCTGCCTTCACCAACCACCTGGGTTAATCACATTTCACTTACAAGCTGCTAACAAAACAGCCCATGAAGAGAAGCAAGATAATAACATTTACAGGCCACTTCAGCCAAGACAGAAGCGTCCGAAAGGACAAACAGCTTTCTTTTTATTTGATCAAAACTAGAGAGAGCTCTTTCCTGACTCACATTTAACGCCTTGTTTTTCCTGTTTTCAGCAACTCAAGCATCCCAACCTCGTCAACCTGATCGAAGCTTTCCGGAGGAAGCGGAGGCTGCACCTGGTCTTTGAGTACTGCGACCACACGGTTCTGCATGAGTTGGACAGACACCGGAGAGGGTGAGTGAGCATCCCCCAAACAAAACCCAGCACGCGCACCGGGACTGTGCGGGGACGTTAGCAGCGACCCTTGTCAGGTGAGGCGAGAGGAGCCAGGGTCTGGACAGCGTGCTCCGCTGCTGGGCCGATGGAGGAGTTACCGAAAGTGTTAGGAGAGGNGAGAGGAGCCAGGGTCTGGACAGCGTGCTCCGCTGCTGGGCCGACGGAGGAGTTACCGAAAGTGTTAGGAAAGAGGCCACGTGGAATCATTTTCGTGGAGAGAGCAACCGCAGCATTATTAGGTCTGACTTGATCTCTTTAGGGCATTACCTCTGCACTACCCGAGAAGCTGCCCGAGTCTCTAAGAAAGAAAAGGAAGGATATTAGTTATTCTCTGCCTGACCAGGGAAGTGTGAGGACGTGGAGATTGAAAGGAAGATTCCAAAGACAATGGCTGCTGGGAAGTTGATGGCTAAAGAACGTGTCGCCGCATCCAAAGCAGTCCGGATGTCCCTTCTGCTGTCTTCATCAGGGCTTCTTTGGTTATAAGTGACAAAAACCCAGCGGAAGCAAGTGCAGGTCAAAAAGGCATGTGTTGGTGGCTGTGACTAGGAAGGACTGTGGGTGACTTTAAAGGCTTCGCTGATCTTATCACATCCCTCTAGCATATGCAACTCTTCCGTGTGCATTAGAAGAAGGCTTGGGGGGGGGGTCCTCTGGTTGAGGGTAGCCCTTGCCAGGGCGAGCAGAATGCAGGCTGGATTTTGGCTCCCACCCACTCCTCAGCTAGATGTCTTAAGGTAGAGTGCCATAGGTGGTGGCTGTTCGCTCTCTCAACTCTTCTTTTTTTTTAAATGTGTTTTTATTGATTTCGGGGGGTGGGGGAGAGAGAAACATCAATGATGAGAGTCATTGATCGGCTGTCTCCTGCACGCCCCCTACTGGGGATGGAGCCCGAAACCTGGGCATGTGCCCCGACCAGGAATCGAACCACGCTCTCCTGGATCATAGGCCGATGCTCAACCTCTGAGCCACACGGGCTGGGCTCAACTCTTCTTTGTGTTGGCTTCATTCTGCTTTGCAGGAGAGTCTCCCTTATAAGGTGAATTTTGGAGGGTGTGTGTGTGTGTGAGGGGTGTGTGGTGTGGGATGGGAAGAGTTAGGAAGGGAAAAATATGATAGAAAGCATGGCTGCAAGCTTTTATCAACCTATATAGCCATTCTAGAAGAAAGGAAGTTCTAGAAGAAGGTAGCATCTACATATAAAGTCCAGTGGAAGACTCTAAGTGGCTCAGCTCAGGTGATGCAACTATCCCTGTGGCCAGAAGGAAAGAGTGCAATGATTAGCATGCGCTGAGAGATATGATTCAAAGCAGGTCAGTCAAGGAAGACTTCATGGAGGAGGTGGCCTTTGGGTTGAAAGATGAGGAGATTTAAGAGAAGTTAAGCAGGAAAGGATATTCCATCTCTCCTTTTGCTCTGCTCTTGGGAGCCCAACTTTGGCTGGGGACAATATGCAGAGTGTATTGTAGATCAGAATGGTGGAATGAGGTCCCATCCCAGTCACAGTCACACTCACACTCAGTGGCTGGAGGCTGAGGCTCTTTTAACAATGCTTTCAAGCCTGGCCCAAGGCCATGTAGTGGCGGTTATATATTATCTACCATGACCTCCAGGCAAGTGGGATTAAAGTGGTTTATAGTTTGTTAGTGACCATGGCATAGGCTTTTCATGTTAATTTACACAACCAGAGAGCCAAGAGAACAGACACCTCCCTTCAGAAAGTCATTGATACAGAGAAATGTGTTCAAGGCAGAAAACCTTGAGTATTGTTGATATTTGCTCTTTGGATGCTTAGAAGTGACATTTCAATGAAATTTATAAGTATAAGTTACTTGTGGCTTTGTGGTTGGTACAAGGGAGGTGTTGCAGGGAGTTTGATTAATCACATTAGATTGAGTCACCTGGAAACACTGATTAGTGGGAGGTTGAAAGCAATAGGGAGTCACTTCTTTTTGGCATACAGTTTGAGCAGAAGGAAAAAGGGATAGGACAAGAATGATTAGAGTTATTTTGGAGAAGATTCAGATTCATGTTGATACTAACAAGCCAATTTATGCCACAAGATAGAATAGGTATCCTGCTGCACTGACACAAATATGTATCTATTATAATTTCCAGTGCTGTGTTTCTGTTGTTCATATTTGCTCTCATACAAGAATCTTACCATTCCTTATCTTCTGTAGGCTTTAATATGCTTTGTACTTACTGTTTTATAACTATTGCTCTCTCATATCTCAAAGTTTCATAAATGACTAGTTTAAGCATTCTCTCCTTATTTTTCTGCTCCTCTAGAAATGCAGCCAGATGCAATACTTCACAGATTCTCTCCTGGGCAGATTCTATTACCACCAGCTCCTCCTCTGTCTCTGGTATAGTTTGTTCAAAGAACATGTGGTGGGTAAAGGTTGTCACTACAAATTTTCATTTTCCTTCAGTAGAATTCCCAAACTTTATAGAGCCCTAAAAGTCTCTCTCTTTTTTAAAAATACATCTTTATTGATTTCAGAGAGAGGGGGAGAGAGAAAGAAACATCAATGATGAGAGAGTCATTGATTGACTGCCTCCTGCACACCCCCTGCTGGAGATCGAGCCCGCAGCCCTGGCATGTGCCTTGACCGGGAATGGAACCACCATCTCCTGGATCATAGGTCAATGCTCAACCGCTGAGCCATGCTGGCCGGGCTCTCTCTTTTTTCTAATTAAAAGTGATATATTGTTTGTTGTAAAATTTTTAAAGTACCACAGCGACATCTAGAAAGAAACATAATTAGTTTAAAATTTTATTTTAATTATTTTTATGCATATATATCTAAAAAAATTATACTCTACATACTATTCTGCATTTTTATGTGTATTTGGGAGCTGTCCCCCTATTTATGCATATTTTCTTTTATATTTTTTAAGTGGCTGTATGGAATTTCATTGTACAAATGTACCATAATTTCTTTACTCAATCCCCCATTGATAAATATTTAGACTGTTTCTAGTTTTCTACAGTAAACAACCACTTGCATAAGTAGTTTTATAGGATAAATTCCTAAGAACATATTATTTCTACAGGAGCTTAGCCAGCCCTTTCTTCTCCAACTTTGTTGTAGTCTTGTGTAGAAGTGAAGCTTTGGTTGTTTGGCTTCTTGTAATGTCACAATGTTAGAAAAGCAGTAGTGGAAACAGCGGTGCTGTATGGAGAATGCCAGGAAGAGGTCCGTGTTCTCTCTTCATCTCTCTCGTCTCATGATAGATGAGAATTTAACTTTCTTACACCATTACACTCTGTTTCCCTTTTCTACTCCCCCAAAATAGTTACATTAAGATTTTATTAATTCAGTATTCACTGTTTCCATTATGATGCCTATGTAAATATTACTTACGGCTGAGCATCTTACCGTTCTAGGGTTTCCTTTCGTACTTTTTCTGCAAATTAATATTTGCCATGGTTTTTAAATTTGCTTAATATCCTTTAACCCTATTGCTAACTTTTCTCACTCTCTCTATTAGCCTCTCAATATACTTTTCCACAGGATAATCACATCACATAATCCATTCATTCCTTTTTCTTTTTCTTTTTGCGACCTCCTGTCTTTAGAAAACCCATTCATTCTCCCTCTGCCTGGCTTGTGCTCAAAGCCTGTCATCCAGCTGTCTTCCTGAGGCTTCCCTTTGCTGTCATCCTTGGAATCCCATCCCACTGCATTTCTCTATGGTTGGATTTACCGCTTCCCCGATCTCCTGTCTTCCTCTTTCTGGGTTTATTTACTTATTTTGGCCAAGTACATCCATCTCCAATCCTTTAAAAAGATGGCACAGTCACACAGAAATCTAGAATACAGACATTTCTACGATATCCCATCCCCTGCTCCTCATTTCCCCTTGGAGTCAGTCACTCGGAATCCCCTACTGTTCCTGGAGGTGAAACAATTCCCAAAGCAGGCAGGAGGGCACACGGGCGAGGGCTCAGGAGCACACCCCTCCACCCTTCCTACCAGTGGAAGCGGGTCCCCTTCCACGCTCCCGGGGAGGAGCGCCCCTGCTGAGCCCAGGGGCGCCCAGTGGGCTTCGGAGGAGCAGTCGAAGCTCCGTGAGCCAGCTGACTAAAGAGCCCCAGGGAGACCACCAGCAGGGTGGCGACCCAGGCAATGAAGACCCGCCTTGCTGAGCCCCTCCCGCCTTGGTTTGGGACAGAAAATATAGCGAGTGTCCTTGGTCAGTTTTCGCAGACCCTGCTTAGACCTGCGTTTCTAGGTCTGGGCAGCTGACATCTTCAGGAGTACAAGCCCCAGGACGCCGGCCGCTGCCTGGGAGTCCAAGAGGCCCAGGCTGGACGCGCCCGGCGCCCCTGGAGCGCTGTTCCCTGGGAGGAGGAGATGGGGACCTGGTTTGTTCACGCGCCTGATCTCACGGGGGAGGAGACCCAGGCCCAGGAGAAAACCTCAAACTCCACTTCCTCGCAGCCTACACCTACGGTTGAGCTTCTACATGGTTCCCCTGAAGGGACAGCTTGTCTTTGAGCTAGAATCTGAATGGGGGCTCTTAGAGGCAGGGAAGAGGGAGAGAGAACGGCCCCTTCCCTGCCTCGCTCGGCCCCAGGGCCCGGCATGAGCACCATCTGCCACCAGTTGGGAAAAACACTGTGGAGTGGAGGGAATTCCTTCGCTCGCCAGCATAAGCTGCAGCCTGCAGAACGTCTGCATCAGCCTGAAGGGTCTGGCCAGACACCCAGGCCCTCCCAAAACTTCTAAGTTTGTTTGTTAAGTATTTTCCTATTTATTTAAGATGGTATAAGGCAGAGGGCACGGTGATGACAACCCTCGACGTGCCTGGCTCTTGAGTCACGCTGTTCCTGTCTGGACGGGCTGTTTCTGCGCCCGGGACGCAGCCGTTGTCCTGTCACTTACCGTCTCCTCCTCCTGGAAGCTCCTGCGGCTGCCCTCCGGCGCCAGGCCTCCGGCCTCCCTGCGTCCTGTCCTCTTCTCTGATAGTTTACGCCTTTTTGTTGGAGTGCATCCTCCAGGGGCCTTCCCGAGAAAGGGCATAGGACGGAGGGGGAGAGAGAGAGAGAGAGGGAGGGAGGGAGACAGGGAGAGAGGGAGAGAGAGAGAGAGGGAGAGAGAGAGAGAGAGAGAGACTGGGACCGTTCTCTTGCATGTTTAAAACGTATTTTCTCTTCACACTTGACTTGTATGTTGTTTGTTTTTGGTGAAAATCCTGGGCCTTGTTTCTCACCCATTATCCTGGCACTTGGTGGACCCTTTCTGTCTGAGAAAAAACATTTTTTGAATTGTTTTGTTACTGATTTCCTATCCTCTGTTTTCTCTGTTTTCTCTTTTCCGGGACCTTCTGTTATTCGGAGGTCTGACTCTGGCCCTGTTGTTTCCTTATAATGGCCTGTTCTTCTTCCACAGATGCAACAGCTTTCCTGTTGCCGTCCTCCCTAAGGATATTAATGTTGTTGTTTTTCCAGTGTTCTCTTCACTCTCCATAGTTTCTGTTTCTTTTGAGTTGCTTTCTTTTTGTTTGTTTCTCTTTCTTATTTGAGACTTTCTTGGGCAAATGTAATCTTGTTTGTCTATGGCTTACAGTAGGGAACCCTTGGAAGCTCTCGACTTCACTATGGGGTTATCTGGCTGGGCCATTTGCTGGGGAAGCACCAATCTTCAGATTTTTCCTCCTGAGCTTCCACTAAAAAAGTCTTTTTTTAAAGATTTTTTTTTTTTTTTTTTTTTTAATTTTAGA